CCCCACCCCACCCTCCCCTCCCCACACCAAAAAATATGCGACCATCTACTTTGTATCTTCCTAGTTTACAAATCCGACCGCCTACTCTCTCTCTACTCCTTCTCTTTATCTATAGATCTGTCCATCGCGACCATCAACTCCGGCCATTGTCATTGTCACCACCCCGTTTGCATTGGGTCACAACATCCCACACATCATCCCGATAAATGTTTTCTTCCACTTCACTCTCTATTCTCTTATAGCTGCAGAGAAACTTAATGATGGTGGCTTTCACGATGTGATGATGCGGTAGATGTTGTGGTGTACCAATGGCTGTGTGGTTGCGAGTTGCAGTGTATTGCATAATTCAGTGGTGGTGGTGAGGTAACAACGTTTGGGTACAAATATTCGTGGTGGTGGGTTGAAAAACGTTTGTGACAAAATATTTGAGTAATTGTGACATATATATAATATGTGATATAAAAGAATGTGTTGCTTGTGATTAAATTTATAATTTGTGGTTTTGTGATAGTGAATTTGTACGATTTGTGATTGTGATCATAAATTGTGTGTTATTATATCCTTCACCTGTTTAATCAATTAATAAGTCACAAAATTTTATCAGGTGTTCACAAATTTGAAATTTGAAAGAATTATGTTTTTATCATTTTTAGTCAAACACATTATTCACTTATTCGATAAAACTCAAAATTTCTGATGATTTAAATTTTAATTTAATCACCTATTAAACATCGCATATATTAGTTCGTTTATTAGGACATATTTGTATCAATCCTTTCATCTCATCCCATCCCGTCCCATCCCAACCCAACATGGTAGTATACCATATTTACAGATTGTTTGATCAATTCTGCTGTGTGTACAGAAGACACATCCACAGAAATTCTGCAGATTAGACACAGCGGCGGGGCCCCTTTTTTTTCAATATTTTAAACTCACATGGGGCCCACATCCATGTGATTTTTCTGTTGGAATTCTTCTGTACAAATGCATTTTCCCTTGTTTGATCCCCACATTTTTTTTTGTTAAAATACATTTTGGAATAGTGATTTAATAGATAATATGTAGTTAAAAAATATGATTTTTTTTTAATTTGAGTATAATATTATTTTATTGAAAAATGTATGATTAAAAATAAGAAAGAAAAAATGTATTTTAAAAATGATAGAGATCAAACAAGGGCTGAATGAATCTTTCCAATGCATGGAACTCCATTTTTTAGAATAAATTTTGTAAATGATGATTTTTTGAAAAATGCGTAGTTAAAAATTTTCAAAAAATTGAAATTAGGTGTAAAATTATTTTATTAGAAAATACATAAATAAAAATAAATTTTAAAAGATTGGAGTCGAAAAGCACTCCATTTGAATTCAAATTTGAATATGTTCAAATTCGTGTCAAAAGGGTAAAATCGTCTGGAAGGCACGATATAAAATAGCATTTATTAAAATAAGAGAAACAGAAAAATATTCCCCGTTGGACTCTGACACACTGACACAACCTTTTTTGCTTGAATTCCAAGTCATTTACCGAATAGCATCTTCTCCCCCATCCCTCCCTCCCGCCACATGAATTATGCATTTTTCATCCTTTGTTCCCAAAATTGCCCCCACCTCCTTATTATAATCGTCACACTATCCCCATAAACCCCACCCGATATCTACCCTATATATATGAACACCTCTCCTGAAACTTTTTCATTCTGAATAGATCGTTCTTCAATTTTTATTTTCTTTTATTTCTCTCCGTTTTTGGTGGATTTTGGCGGGAAATTATGGTGGATGGAGGCGGCGGAACGGCGTTTCCTGTGGTGTTTTTTGATGGGGAGAGGGAGATGAACATTGGGAGCGTATATATCGACGCGGCGATGCAGTACAAGCGGTTTCAGTTGATGTTGAGCCACAAAATCGGCATCTCACCGAATCAAATCTCCATTTATCTCGTTGACCTGAAGAGGAATTCTAAGTTCGAGGATCGCCGGAGAATTCCGATTACTGGCAAGGTGAACTTTGCGTTTATCTCTGGCGAAAAGGATTGCTGCTTTCTCGTGGTGTTGAAGAGATCGCGAAAATCAAGAAACCGAAGGGTCAGAATGAATGGATTGGAGTTTGCCGATAACTTGCCGGAATACGACTACTCACCGGAACCTGAACGGGAACAGGAACCTGAACTGGAGAATTTAATTTTGCTCCGTCGTAACGAACCGGTGCCGTTTTCCAATCTGATTAAACAAATAGAGTTGGAGAATTTGAACGATCGGCTACAGAATCGGAGGGTCCAGAGGGAGAATTATCAGACGCCAATGGCGAGACCCAATTTCAATCCGGGATTGGACATGGACCCGATTATGGATTTGAACTCGTACCCGATGTTGTCGCAGAATGTGAATAAGAAGGCTTTCTGCAAAGAATGTGTGAACTGGAAAAATAACGGAGAAGCGGCGTCGTTTCATCTATGTGTAAATGACCCGGTAACCAATCAGTTTCGAACCCGGTTCGGTCCGATATCTCGGCCCATTAAATGATTTCTCTCAGCACATTCGTTTTCGTGTTTCTTTTTTTACACAGAAATAATTTCCATTTTTTTGGACAAAAAGAGCTTGTGAAGATGAGCCATTGGATTTCTGAATTGATTGATGAAAGCAGTACATGCAAATATTAGCCGTCGATTGGTAATTGAAGGTGCTGTTAGTTTTGTGTAGGGCATGAAAATGGCTAATTATAGCATTAAATTTCAATTGAATCAAAATTTGTAAATTTTATTATTGTCTTACCTATATTCTCAAATTTTTTTCCCTCTCGTTATTAAATTATATGTTATATGTAGGATTCGTCTAAGATATTTGTAGAGTTCGTGGATAAATATTAAGCTTCTTTCTTTCTCAAGTATATTGTGAAATTTACATTATCGACAAGACATTAGAGCGTCTTTTCATAGCCATCCCAATTTGTAGCGTCATGTGTGGCTTAATCGAGATGAGATCCGTTATTTTCATATTTATTTGTTAACACCTTAACACATCAATTCTTGTTAGGCCCTATTTGATACTACCTTTTTTTTCCATGGAATTGGAAATTAAATTCTATCTTTTTCAAAAAATGCATGTTTGATTGGCAACATTTTCTAGCCTAATCATTGTCTTGGTTTCCAGCCACGCGCCCATCTTTCCATGTTCTTGGTGAAAACCAATTCTAACCTTTTTTTTTTGCAATTGGAACAAATTTCATATCAATTGTAAATATATTTTTTCACTTAAATAGACAATTTTCATATAAAACGAAACCAAACGAACACTAAATTTTGATTAAAAAAAAATGATTTTTTAGGAAATTTTATTATTATTATTTTTTTTACTTTTTGGCAATGGATACAAATTTTATAACCAATTGTGGAAAAAATTATCACTTTGATGGACAATTTTAATGTAAAATAAAGCCAAACGAATACAAAAAGATCCAAAATTTTAAAATTTTTCAGGTGAAAAATTATACCAATAAAACAGACTTAATTAACAATTCCTAGAAAACAAGTTCTAGTCAATTATTTTCTCTGAAATTCATTTTCTTTCTACCTATTTTTCACTCTTACAATCAAACGGACCCTTATAAATTTAAAGATATTAACACAATACATTATACGTGATAGTACATTTGAAATGAATTCTTTTCGTTTCTAATAAAAATCGATATGTAAAAATATGTCTGCCAAGAAAAACAAACAAGAAAAAAATGAAAATTTGAGAAATAAAAATTAATGGATGCACAAATGACAGATATTCCTAAAGGTCACGTGAAGGTCGCGTGACAAGAGAGGTGACCCACCTAACATATACTAATAAATAATTAAACAACAGAAAGCTATATAAACACGCACGAAACAAACCGTTCATTTCGTTATTCTCCCCTTTCCCGATCCAATTTCCCCGTTTCCCCCCATTTGATTAATCACATAAAATTCATGTGTTAAGAAGATTGATTGATGAGTATAGATAAAGAGAATCGCATGTACGTAGTAGAAATGGAAACCCTAAGCGAACGAGCGGCATTGATGAGAGAATCAATGCAGAAAAGCCAGTCTGTTACCGATAATATGGTCACCATTCTCGGCTCCTTCGACCACCGCCTCTCCGCCCTCGAGACCGCCATGCGACCCACCCAGGTATTCCCTTGCTTTCTTTCCATTTATAGATATGAAATTTTACCCAACACTAGGAACTGACTATTGCATGTAGGATTGTATGATTTTAATGAAATTTTAGCTGATTTGGTTAATTTTGGGTTTGTGGATTGTTTTTAGCTGAGAACACATTCGATAAGGAGAGCGCACGAGAACATTGACAAAACACTCAAGGTGGCTGAGGCTATTCTGGGACAATTTGATCTCAAACGCCAGGTCTCTCTCATTCTTGAATTTATATTTTTACTGGGTTTTCTTTTACACTTAAACTTATATACAGTATATATATGTATATTTACTGCATATACTTGTAGAATTTACTGTTATCACGAGAAAAAATTGAACGAACATACACATGTAAAATTTACTGTTGCTACAAGACAGAACTGAATGAACATGCTGCATTATAAAGTTTTTATTTTGGAGCTTAAAATACGTATAAATTCTGCTTGTCTCGGTGCAATATTTTAGTGGAAGCAAGATTTATGTGCATAATATAACTGATATTAGGACTGGTTTGAGTTTTTCGCACCCTATTGTGCAATTTGCTTCTCAATTACTAACAGATATCAGGAGTCTGTTTGATTTCACCATCAAAAATTGTTTATAGTCCTTTGACGTGTTAACTCTCATATTGAAATATAAGTTGTTGGTCAGCCCTATTTTCTTGAACAGTTTCTGAATATAAGCACATCAATTCTGCTGTGGAGGAAAGATGTAATGTTTTAAGTGAGAGGAGCTCATCTTATTTGTTTGAATTACTCCAATTTCTTGTTTTCTATTTTCCTAAACGGAGGCTCACATGTAAGGACATTTAGGAAAAGAGTTTTCCTAACATATTCTGTGAAGCAGTCTTGTGGTATAAATTTTTGAAACACTTCCAAATAGTTCTGAATGAAATTAGTTTAGTCTAATTTTCCCAGGTCACCAGCAGTTTGGCTCTTTTATGCTTCAAGTTGAGTTTTGGCAGTTTTCACTGTTGCAGTTTTACAAGTTCTGGACTTCCTTTTTCCCTAAACAATTTTGCTTTTTACAAGTTCTGGACTTCCTGGGCAGCATCAGTTTTTCATTTTCCTATCAAAAAAAAAAAAATTGCTTTTTTGCTGCCTGCGCCAAAGTGCGTGGATAGAGAAATGTTCATTACCAATTAGGTCTCGAAGTGGGAAAATCTTTGTGCACAGTAAAGTGAACATGTAAACTCAAGGTTAAACTTGTTTTAAACATGAACGTCATTGCAAATTTGCATTTGTGAATGTTCTAATTTCTATTACTATTTTACTCATTAAGATTCTACGAATTAGTGTGAAGATTGCTAGCTTATTTCCACTGCTACTGCAACCATGCCTGTAATGAATTGTAGATTATGTTAATATCACTGCTAGCTTATCAAAATTTAACTTTTCAGGCCGAGGCTAAAATACTGAGGGGGCCACACGAAGATTTGGAGAGTTACCTAGAAGCAGTTGATCAGCTAAGGAGTATTGTTCGTTTTTTCAGTGGCAATAAAAGCCTTAAAAGTAGTATTGGTGTGATTAACCAGGCCAATAACTTACTTGGAAAGGCAATCTTCAAACTAGAAGAAGAGTTTCGGCAGCTTCTTACCTCGTACAGGTTTGCCATATAGCAGTAATCATATTATATATCTTAGTTCACCAATTTACTATTATCTTCTCAACTATTCATAGAATTGCTTGTTGTAAACAAGTAAATTTGTTTAATATGTCCAAAAGGGTTTCAAAATCAATCACTTCTTTTTTGATTGAATTCATGCAGTTCTTTTTCTTGTGTAAAAACTTTTTGTTTATCTTTTTACATTGTCTTTATATGGTTTAAGTATTGCCGATGTTTCCTCAGTCCTTACATTTCCCATATTTTCTTAATTATTTCAAAACTCTTTATCAAATTCTTTGTGCTTGATGCCTGAAGCCTGCAGCTGAGTGGTTAGTCTTCTGTCACTGAACTCTCTGGGTTTAGAAAATGGTCCAATCCAGCCATAAAATCTTTAAAAGACCATTTAGATTGAGTATATGAGCTTGAAATGTGTCACAATAAGTATTTTTTCAGTCTCTGTTGTGTGTTAAAGTCTTTCATTAGGAGATGTTAATTGACATTAGACGTCAACTTGTAGCTATTATGGATAAGCATTATCTAGATTTTGCTTTTCTTTAATCTAATTGCTGAATTGTGCAAGGGTAAGTAATTGCAGCAGTGTACAATTTATTGGTTGCTGCATTGTAGGACTTATAGTTTCAACTTTTTGCATAAATTTTAAGAGCTCTTCAATGAATAAAAACATCAGAACCCTTATTTCTCTGGAGGTCTAGGTTCCTCCAGAGAAATCCGGGGGTAGCCACTTTTCCTTGAACTAACAAAATTGAAAAGATTCATAATGTGTCACCCGTCACTGCACTGCTAGTTGCAAAAGACATAGTAGATATGAACAAATCTTGAACTTAATCCTCATTGTTGTTAAATGCTGCAGGTGATTGTGGACAACAATTGTAGATTAATGCTGGTTTAAATTGTTCAAAAAGATGAATAAGACTCTAGAGTTTTGCCTTTATTGTTTCTATTGAAAAGCGAGGTTGTGTCATTCTCTCATACGTCAAATTCTTTACCTTTTGCAAGCCTCCCATGATTGTGATTCCCATCTTTTCACCTGTCGAAAAGCTTAATATATGGTGATTAAATTTATATTTTTATATTTTATCTTCAAAACACCCTCTCACATTCAATTTGTTAAATAACCTCATCTAAAAGTTTAAACAGTTAAAAAAATTTGTATTTTATACTATCAACAAACTCCTCTGTGTACAGGCTGGTTTCATTATTTTATCTAAAGTTTGACACTTAAAAGTTTTGTAATTGGGTGGTGGCAAAACTAAAACGCATGATTATTCCGTGCTCTAATACTATATTGAACTATCTCATCAAAAATGTAAAGTTGTTTGAAACAGGAGGAATTATTTACTTGTATTTCATCTTAAGCCCTCCTTAACAGTATTCAGTATTGTGAACACTTAAGAAAGGAGTAATAGAGGAATATAAGGCTCTATATATTAAGTCCACTGGTTTTTGAAGTGTGAGGAGGTAATATAATAATGAATTTTCATGTCTAAGCAGTATGAGCTCAGGATTTAAGTTATCCAAGCATAGGAGGATTCAATTTTCAAAATTCTTGCTTACCAACCTTTTGGGCAGACTTACTGAAATATTAGCATGCTAAGATCAGCATAAAATATCAAGTTTTTTTTTATCTTTGCCTAGTCTGATTAATAAAGATAGATCTAGCTCTTATCAAATCAATATAAGCTTCTAAAATATAAGGATGTCTTGAAGAATATAATTCTCAAGGGTGGTTCTATGGCTCCGTTCTATTCTAATTTTTGAGAATGATTTTGAGCATTCTCTGTCTTTTCTTCATTTTGATTCTTTTACTGTAATGTGATGAATGTTATTATCTGAGTGCAAATGAAAATATTGATTTTTTTATTTTTTTCTAATTGTTCATAATGCTCAACCTAATTCATAGATTCAATATAAGGTTTTCTTGTGCAAGGGATTAAGGTTCTTTATAAATATGAGTGATACAGCTGCCCTACTAAATTTACTTCTAATGATTTCAGCAAACCTGTGGAACCAGATCGTCTTTTCGATTGCCTACCCAATTCTCTGCGACCATCAGTATCATCATCCGGTGATGGTCATGGAACTAAACCACATTCAGAGCACCAAACTAAAAGTTTGGAGACTGTTGTTTATCATCCTCCGGCTCTAATTCCTGCTAGAATTCTGCCTTTGTTACATGACTTGGCTCAACAAATGGTTGAAGCAGGCCAACAACAGCAACTCTTTAATATATATAGGTAATTTGTTCATCGTTTACTCAATTTGATGTAGTTTCTGGGAAAATAATATGGTTGTTGCTCTTTTGAAAAGTTTTAGTACTACTTTTCTAGGTAAGTTTCTTGATGCCTGATGGACCAGGACAAGAAAAGATGAATTACAAGCCCACAATGATCGAAAACTGACAATTTAATTTAAAGCACTATATGATGAAAATCAGTTTTTTTTTTTTTTTTCCATGAAAAATATCCATTGACTCATTATTTTGCAATCACGTGCAAACAACAAGGTGAATTTTGTTTCTGCTTAATTTTGCTCCTGTTTGGGCCCCCCTTTTTTTTTTTTGCTAAGAATGCATTTTGCAATAGTAAATTAATGGAGGATGTGTGGTTAAAAAATAAGGAAAAATTTTGAGTTTGCATGTAATATTAGTTTATTAAAAAATGTGTGATTAAAAAGAAGAGAAATAAAAATGTACTTTGAAAATAATGGAGATCAAACGAGGGTTATTATATCTCATATTTCTATAGCTTATTGGAGATAGAATTGCCTCGTTAATTGGAAAATAAAATCTTACAAGATGAGGGAGCAGGAACTGCTGTTATCATTTGTAGTGTAGGATGGAGACAACAAAAAAAGAACAAAGAAAAAAAAAAGAAAGCACTTATAAGCAATAAACTTACTAGACTGAAAAAAGGGTAGAATAGACCTGTGAGGTTTGAGATATGAAGGCATGTTATTATAAGAATTTTCCCTGGATACAGGTGGAATTACTGCACTATTGTGTATATAATATTTGCCAAGACCTCTAGCATAACACATGGTTCTACTGGAAATATTTCTCAAGGAAAACTGGAGTGATTCTTGTTTCATACAAATGATGTCTGATGACCAAATGCGGGAATTAGATGTGTAACTAACTCAGGTCTGGATCTTGAATAATATGAACTGGTAGGCAGATAAACTATTACATCTTTAAATGATGGGATGTATATCAGTAGTGTGAATGCATTAACAAAAATTATCAGATAGGGCCCAGTAAATGCTATAGTTCCTGTGGCTATCAAGTAGCCTTCAGCATCCAAAGGAAAGTATATATTTTAATTTTTCTTTTAAATAATCAAATTATGCATCATATGACTATTCAGATAATCTCCATTTACTAAATTTTTTGAGTTCTGTTTATTTGGTCTTTTCAATGATTTTTGGGCGTATTAGTAGGCTTAATTTTTAGTTCATATTTTCTGTCCAATTACATTGCTAGATTTTATTTCAAGTCCTTAATACCTCTAATTGTCAATGTAGTCCAAGAGGCAATATAATCTACTATTAAATCCATAACACTTGTAGGTGATTTTTTTTCCCCCGTCTTGTTAGTATGACTTTAATCTGAGATAATTTAGTTCTGATGATTTATGGCAATATTTTTCATGTACAGATGTCTGAATATGTTGAGCTGAACCTTGTGTTTGAAAGTGTGTCTATATATGCATGTGCGCACTTGAGTGTATTTTGTTACTCTGCTGTCATCATTGTAATCAGGGAAACTCGGTCTTCGGCGGTGGAGCACACTCTCAGGAAACTAGGTGTGGAAAGACTTAGTAAAGATGATGTACAAAAGATGCAGTGGGAAGTTCTGGAGGCAAAGATTGGAGACTGGATTCATTTTATGCGGATTTTGGTAATTTTTGATTTATGTTTCATAAAAAAAAATTCATTTGTTTCTTCATTCACTGACATTATTATCGTATACAAACCAGGTGAAACTTCTATTTGTTGCTGAAAAGAGTGTGTGCAATCAGATTTTTGATCATGAGAGTCTTAGGGATCAGTGTTTTGCAGAAGTTATGGCAAATAGTGTAGCCATGCTACTTAGTTTTGGAGAAGCTATTGCCAAGAGCAGGAGATCACCTGAAAAGCTATTTGTCCTCTTAGACATGTACGAGATAATGAGAGAACTTCAGCCAGATGTATGATGCAGTTATCCTTTTAACTAACCCTTTCAGCCTTGCTTATTAAATATAGCTTCTTTTGCACTAAATTGCATCGTGATATTCTTATTGAGCTTGTCCTTTTATTCTTTTCTTCCTTGGTTTGCTTGAAAGCAATTTTTTCCCTTTACATCTATGAAATATCTGGTGGAATTTTAGATTTAAAAACCCTCTTTCAACCCTATGAAAATTAATTAGAAGAATAATATGCTGCAATAAAAATGCTGCCAAATTCTTAAGTGCCTTGCATGTACTCTTAACATACATATTCCCCGGTCATTGTTTTGGCTTCGTCACTGTTGTTGAATGAACTATCGGTTGAAACTTACTATATGGGTGCCAGCAAACAACACTGTGCAAAAGAAAAGAAGTTTATTATCCCCTACAAATAATACATTAATTGAAAATCTATACTAACTTCTTTAAGCTGTAAACAGAAATTTCTATTTTCTATTTGGTTTTCCGATTGCACTTGTGGGTATAAATTCTGGCATTTTTTTAACCATTGATTGACCTCTCTCTCCCTCCCTCTCTGCTATAAGTATGTACATACATGCATACATTATCCTCACACTAACTAGATCATGTATAATTGCATAGATACACGAAGACACAATTTCACTTAATGATGGGCTTAGGAAGAAATCTTATACTCATAAATGCAAAAGTTTGGAACCTTGACTAATTGTATTTTCAGTATAACTTCAATAAATTTATTGTTATGAGATTATTAGACCTTCCAATTTGTTTGTGGAAGTAGTTATATGAAGTTTACACTAGTTCCTACCCTGTTCTTTTGATGAATTAATTTGCGAAATATTGTTGGAACATTACCATAAAATGTCTTCTTGTTTGTTATCCCATTCCATTTTTTTGTCTTCATCTCAGATTTGATGTTTTATTATTAATAGATTATATTTTTGTGGGGTGGGTGTTTGAATTTGCTGTTTACGACAGATTGATATCATATTTGGAAGTAAATATTGTGGTGAAATACGGGAAGCTGCTAAGGTGTTGACAAAACGTCTAGCTCAGACTGCCCAGGAGACATTTGGTGATTTTGAAGAAGCAGTTGAGAAAGATGCCACCAAAACTGCTGTTCTCGATGGAACAGTCCATCCTTTGACCAGCTATGTGATCAACTATGTGAAGTTTGTCTTTGAGTAAGTTTGCTATGGGGATCTTTAGACTTTTGTTGTTTGGTTAAGCGATGCAGTTCTCTCTAATACATGATGTTTTTTAGGAGATAAAAAATATTAATTATTAAGAGCTTTAACTTATTATATTTGCATATAGTTACATGTATTATACTTTATTAGTAAAACAACATTTGATGCTTTTATCTTCATTTTATTTATCCTTACACTTCTATTTAGGATCCTTGCGATTTAAAATGAAGTGTGATATTATTATATTTATCATATCATAGTTCCTAAATGGGTTCCACTTATATAAGGATATTCCTGTTTCCTTCACAATTTTTGAGCCTTTTAAATACATCCTTCCAATGCTTCAAAGAAACTCTTTTTTGTTGACTAAATAAGGTTGAACTTCTTTTGTTTGGTTGATTCTTTAATATCCTTTTTATTTCTCAAGTGAAGAAGAATTTCATAATTCTCTAAACCAAATTACTCCAAACATAGAAATTGCTTTGTGCATTGCAGATTATAAGTCCTTCCCTGATAAAATATGTCATATTCTATATGTTGAGCATCATCTTTGAGTACTTCTAAGTCTCCAGTTACTTAGATTCCATGACATTAGCATTTTAGAAATTTACATTCAATAATCTGCTTAGTATTCAAAACTTACATGTATATACAAAAGAAATATAGAATTATTAAATTTCTATTTTAATAATTAGTACTACAAAGAAATTGTAGCAAATTATGTTTCTTGTTGACATCCAAATATAGTGGGACTCATCTATCTATAGATCCCAACTCCTCTTTTGTCCACGTATATGTTACTTGTACACATGAACAACTAAGTTATACTGCATGGCTCGTAGCTCCAACGGGGTGCAACAATCGTGTGCACTTTGGCACTCAAGTCACACTATGAAGTATATTTGGAGTGGGAGAGACAATGAATAGAAAATATGGGTGTCGGATTTTAGATTACACTTACTTTTGAATAGAGAGGACCGAATAATTATATGTGGAGGGGGCAGATAGAAGAGACCCTCTCTGGATGCTTGACACGTGGCCTTATCCTAATGGCTCACTTGCCATATTCAACTGTGCCAATTTATAGCCATCTAAGCTTGCAATTTTCATATTCGAAACATAAACTGAAAAGTTTTGATTTGATTGGGCACCGCCACTACAGAGCTGTCACATTAATTACTTTGTGTAGTGTACTGTTTGTACAACTTGACCGGGACGAGGCTTGTAGCAGACACCCTCACCTCAGATATAGCCTGCAGCAAAGAGGCGATGCATTGCCTCAGATAACAATAATATTCTAAGTGAGGCATATAAAGGCATGGCCTAATCATCTCGGAAGAAACGTGTAAAGGAGGCAATGCGAAGTGGAGTACTAACATTGTGTGTCATTTTACTTAGCTGGCTGCCACGTGACTAGCACGTAGGCAGAGGTGTAACATTTCCAATTTGTTTTGTTTATACATCTTTTGCAGGCTCCAGTTTCTGCTGATTTTACTTTTATCCAACCAATTTTTCCAATTTCAGACATCTTACACTTAAAACCAAAGCATCCATTATTTATCATTTTACAAGAATTTTACTATTATTGTACTTTTGTTATCTGACTGCTTATGCATGTTTACTTTTTAAACATATTTGGCAATAAATTCCACATCTTACTGTTGGTGTCGATAATTTCAGCTATCAATCGACTCTAAAGCAACTTTTCAAAGAGTTCAACGATGGTGATGAAGACGAACAGCTAGCATCTATAACAACACGGATAATGCAGGCTCTCCAAAATAACCTAGATGGGAAATCTAAGCAATACAAAGATCCTGCATTAACTCAATTATTTCTCATGAACAATATACACTATATTGTTAGATCTGTGCGCAAGTATGTCATGCTTTCCTGACACATTTGGCCGGGAGTATTAGATAGCACTGGACAATACTAAGAAAGAAAGAGAATCTAAAATCATATTTATTATATTGTTCAGTCCTATCTAATACTACGTATCAAAAATGATCTTAGTTCATTGTGTCTGTGTAACAAACTAGTGAAAAATAGACCAATTTATGAAATGTTGTTATCTAGGTCAGAGGCAAAGGATCTGTTAGGGAATGACTGGGTGCAAATACACAGAAGAGTTGTCCAGCAGCATGCAAATCAATATAAGAGGATATCATGGTCTAAGGTTTGATGTACTTACTGCACCTTTTTTCTCATGCATCATGACTCACTATTTTTGTTGTCGTTTATGCAATGCACAACCACTCCTCTCTATTGAAGTAGCTCGTGAGATTAGGCTGTTCTCACATATTTAATTTAAAGCTAGATAACACAAAGTATGCTGATTCTGTTGTTTCCCAAAAATGGAAGGGGAAATTGATGATGTACGTATTGCAGATAAAGCATATTAAAATCTCTGTTTGCATGTTTGAATGAATAAAATATATTCTTCCCAACGCCAATAATACAAAAGAAAAAGAAAAAATGAGATAGAAAAATAAGAAACCATTGACGGTGGAATGCAAGAATGGATGCTCCAAATTCTTTCCCCTTTCCTCTGAGATTTCAGTTGACGCTAAACCCATTCAAATGCTATCAGTCGTATTCAATAGTAAAGTCTGGACTTTGAAATGCCCTCCTTATCTCTTTTTCTATTTCAGTATCCATTTCTTGTACTTTTCGTAAATCTTTGGTATCTAATTCTTTTTATTCATCTTCTCATTTGACAACTTTGTTGATGCTATTGTTGCAATAGTCGTTTGGTGTGTTATGTTGCAACTGGAGTTACAATGAGGCCTGAACCTAAATGTGTTTTTTTGTTCTTGTTAGTCAAATTACTAAAGTAAAATCCGATACAGAAAACATATCAGTGACCAAACAACCTCTAAGTTTTTCCTTCTCTTTCCTTCACTCTGTTAATCAAGTTCGATCTTGAAAATCGAAATGGATTCCATTTTCTTTGAATTTCATTTTAAATTATGAAATTTCATTTTAAATTATAATACGTAGTCTGTCTTGGAATATTGGGAGAGGCTCACTCTTTATGATCTGCAGATTTTGCAGTGTCTCTCCATTCAGGGACTTCAAGGTGGTAGTGGTTCATTTGGAGATGGTGGTAGCACTGCTAATGTTTCCCGGGCAATGATTAAAGACAGGTATAAAACCTTCAATATACAGTTTGAGGAGCTTCATCAAAGACAGTCTCAATGGACCGTTCCTGATACCGAGTTACGCGAGTCATTGAGGCTGGCAGTTGCAGAGGTCCTATTGCCTGCTTATAGGTCTTTCGTAAAACGTTATGGGTATGCTTTCTTAGACTCGATAACACCCCGTCCCGAAAAATAATGATAATTACACTTTCCTCCATTTTTCCAAAGTTAGCTTTCTCAATGATTGACGACGAGTTTTTTGAATCTTATATATATGCCTAGGCCTTTAATTCAGGGTGGAAAAAATCCACAGAAGTACATCAGATACAGTCCTGAAGATCTTGAAAGAATGTTGGCTGAGTTTTTTGAAGGGAAGACATCAATTGATCCAAGGCGGTAGATTTTCTTTTTTGCAAGAACAGGTTTTTATTTAGTATACTTGAGTTTTATTTATTGTACAATTATGGGACCAAATAATTGTTGGTAATGTAGAGCATTCGTACGATGGATAGGAATAGGATGAAATAATCAACTGCTGATATATAAACGTAACTTTAGGATATTATGACTTGAGTAGAAGATCAATAGTAACTCGAAAGGTTGATTTAAATGGAATAAATATTCTTATCTTCGTTCATACATTATAGACTATTGCAGTTTTCTATGCTCTCGATGTGCGTATAAGGTAAAACTTGGTGAATTCTTAACTAATGTGCGTCATGTTACGAGAATATAGCATCTATCTTACCTCCTTTCTTTCGTACACCATTTCTTAGTATTAACCTTCATTCCAAATGATGTAAGCAAGAAGTTAAGTGATTTTAGTCCTCAAAACACAACATTGGATCCTCTTGGGGTTAATTTTTCTATTCTATGTAGATACTTTCTTTCATTTTCCATGTCTTCTTTTTCCCTCACTTTTCGACTTGTATGCTTTGGGTTTCAAATATTTCTCATTAATCAAATTTTTTTTCACGTGCTTTATTCCCTCCCACCTTTAGAATTGTATTTTTGATAGATTTTGAAGAATTTTAACCTTTGTATTTGGAAATAGGTCATTATATAGAATTTTCAAGACATCCCACAAATATCGTGATTTAGATTGAAAATTCGACAATTAGAGGGTAGTGTGCATGTGCTTATATCCACGATTTTTAATCTTCTACCTTTTTAATTGTCTTTTTGTAAATAGTGAAGAATCTTAACCCTAATATTTGGAAAAGTGTGGTTTATGAAATTTCATAGAGATCCCACCAAAAGGTATTTAGACTAAGATTGAATGTTGCATGTGAACACACACACACATACATACATACATACATACATACAAGTAATAATATTAATCATCTCCCATCTAAGTAGCAGTGAGCCTCCTGATTCAGTTTTCAATGAAATTGTGATACATTTTAATGCGTTGAATAATGAATTAAGTTCAACCGTCATCTAATTGGTGATGATTAGAGTTTATGATTAACAATATAATTTTATATTTAGTCATTTGCACACGCAACTAAACACAATATGGTACTTTGTTCAGAGGTTTCAAACTCCAAGGTTGATGTTGTGGGGACTTCTGCAAGTGCAATAAGGAAGATTGCTATAAGCCCCAAATTGCAAGATAAAAGGTTGTCTTTTGGTGATCTGCCACATGGTTTTTGACACAAGGCCACCCATGTCTTTTACTTAGTGGGTATCCCTGGGCTTCTTTTGTTCCATTTCAAGATGCCTTATCCCAATCTTTTTTCTTCCTTTTATGCACTTTTTTGAGTATTTTCTCACTATACTATTTCCCCTTATGTGTGCTTTTATTTATTTATTTTTCTGTATTCCCCATATCTTGCCCAGAATAAAGAAAAAGCAAACTTCGGCTACCCTCTTGTGACTTTCCCTTGTTTTTCATCACTTTTTACATCAGGCATCCTTATAAGAAAAATGTTCAATTTCAAAAAGACATTTACAAAAGAGAGAGAAAACGTTTTAGCATATGGATCACTGCAATATCAAATTTCGATTTTGTAAATCTTACTTTTATTGATAAGGTGGATTACATTGAGACAAGTGGGAGAGGACATTTGTCCCAACAGATCAATGGCAGCTAAAAGGACCATTTGCTAGGCAAAATGATTATAAGAACAAGCGGGGCTTCTTTCTATAATGGTACAGGAATGGCCAACTATACTTACGGCACAATTTTTTCTTCAATAACTTGTTGTAGAAGGTAATTGGTCTTTCTTCTCGGCTAAGCACTACTCCAATTATTAAAGAAAAAATAGAGTGACAATGAAAGCCATGACAAATCAAGAGGAGAAAAGTTGTAAAGGAAGCTGGATAGCCATGCCGCGAAGGCGAATTCGTGAATTTGTTCATTGGCAAAGTCATTTGTAAAAGAATAAAATTTCGAAAACTTAAAAACCTCTATGTAATTTTTATTTTGCATTTTCTTTTAATTTAAAAAACCAATTGCCTCATTTTAATCGGACTTGAGGTTCTCAATATTTTCTCATTATTACTCTAATTAAAATCGGATTAAAATTGAAAATATAGCCGTTATTGTTGACTTTTATTAAACGGATGGGACCCAATAACGGCTATATTTTCAATTTTAATTGGATTAAAATCACTCTCAAACAAGCTCTTAACTTTTTTAATCTTATTCTTATCTTCAATATCCATCAACTAGCAACACATCTCGTCCTTGAAGATGATTTATGTCAAAATAATGTGTACGTACTTTGAAATGAGGAAAAAAGTACTATGTTGTATTTTTACATTTATTTTTATTAAAAATATATAATGAATAAGTCGTTTTACGTCCTCCTATAGACTTTTTGGACGAAAACCATTATAAGAGATAATATACTAATTAATTAAATGTTGAGGATAAGAATTCGTTGAAAACAAAAGTTTGAGAATAAATGCTACATTAAGCAAAGATTGAAAACGTGGTGTAAATAATAAAAAAAATGTGGCGTAAATATGGGAATTCCTATTCTTCTTTTTGGACGGTGTTGTCCTTTTACTTTTTTCACCACTATTTGGTGTCCTAAAATTTTAATAAAAATTAAATCAAAATTAATAATTAATTTAATTACACGAAATTCCTGATTTTTAAATTTTTAACCAAGTATTTTATAAATTTTTATTAAAATTTATTAAAAATATGATTTTAGTTATATCAAACAAGATTTAATACGTTTAATTGAATTGAATCAATCACTATTAGAATAATTATGTAAATAGTTTAATTGATTATTTGTTTAATATTATGTCATTGATACATTATGTTTATGTTTGGTATCGATTGAAATCAATTTTTTAGTAGATTTTATAAAAACTTAATAAAATATGTATTTGAAAAGTTGTCAATCCAATAAAATATGTGATAAAATTAATTATTATCTTTCAAACCAATGAATCTGTACTCCGATTTGATAGAAATTAAAATATAGATTTTAATTTAAATCAAAGTAAATAATTAATTTTAGAGCTTGTTTGGGAGTGATTAAAATCAGATTAAAATTGAAAATATAGCTGTTGGAGTTGACTTTTATTAGAGGAGTGGGATCCAATAACGGTTATATTTTCAATTTTAATTGGATTTTAATACTTCTCAAACAAGCTCTAAAATCAAATATCTTAAAAGTCTCACAACGTTTCAGCTACGTATTTCTTCGAATTCTATCAAAAATTCTAAAAAATTATCATGATAAGTTCCTCCTATCATGATAAGTGGACCCCGACCACGGAGGGCATTCACCGTCAGACGGTCATGATTCATAAAAGTACAACACCTATATTCAACTTACCCCACCCCTCTAAGCCTATATAAAAAGCAACCACCTCCTCCACATTTCTCCTACAACTCAACTCCACCTTCCACCACCAAATTTGCCACCGCCACCACCACTTGAAACATGACGGAGGAGAAGTGTGCCGACGACAATAGCGAGCGACGGATAATTATCCGGAGATGGTGCGCCGGGCTTCTAATTTTCACCTTCACCATCCTATTAATAATCCTCCTAATTTGGTCCATTCTCCAACCCAGAAAACCACATTTCACCCTCCAAGACGCCACCATCTTCGGCCTCAACGTCTCGTCCCCGAGCATCATCTCCACCAGCATTCAAGTCACCATCAACTCTCGAAACCCTAATTCCAAAATCGGCATTTACTACGAGAAAATGGAAGTCTACGCCACCTATCACGACCAACAAATTACCTACTACACAGTCATTCCACCGGTGTACCAAGGCCACAAGGACGAAAACGTCTGGTCTCCATTCGTTTACGGAACTAGTGTCCCGGTGGCGCCATACAACGGCGTCGCCCTCAGCCAGGACAAATCCAATGGAGCCATTTGGCTGATCATCAAGATCAATGGCCGTGTTAAATGGAGAGTTGGGTCCTTCGTCTCCGGCAGGTACCATCTCCATGTCACCTGTCCAGCGTATATTCCTCTCGGAAATAGCCGGAATACTGGGATTGTCGTTGGAAATGCAATCAAGTATCAGCTTTCACAGACCTGTAGTGTCAATGTGTGATCAAGAAAAGGGCTCATTTTATGTTATAAATTAACTTAATTTCTTTTTGCTTTTAATTAATGCTGTATGGATCATATAATCGTACATTTTGCTGATGAATAAGAAAGCAAAATTACAAATCTGTAATAATTGAATGCTGATTATTTCTTCTCTATCGTAGTGGAGTTTACTTTTATGGAGTGACTTTTTCTTGAATTTTCTTGTAGTAAAAGCTTCTTTATCATGCTGACTTTATGTTTACTCTTGTGTTTTGTATATTACTCGTGTTTAGTTAATTGATTTCTGTTTAGAGTAGACCTTAAGTATTGCTTTTAACTGTTACTTATTTTAATTTTATTCTTGGTCCATGGAATTTCATGTACTTTTTCCTATTATCCTTCTATTTAATAAGTTACAGCCAACCATCTATGTAAATTTATATTTAAAATCGTTACATTGTATGTAATTTATTTAAAATTGTAACTTACACATATTTGTTGTTATAATGTGTACTAAATTAAATTAAAATAAGATAATATAAATTGACTCATTTCATCACGTACGCTAGGTTAAGGCTTTCGGTGAGTGAAACCACTTCTTTGTCAATTATTTCGTATAATTAATATAAGACTTTATCCGCCGTCAAGAATGCGGCTCATCCTTTTTAATATAAGACTTTATCATATTTGACATCTCGTCTAATTTTAATGCCCCGTACACCAAAAAAATCCTCTCGATTACATTGACGACAACCAATAGAGTGACTCAATTTAAAATTAATTAAATTTTAGTAACTCAAATGAAACTTGTTAAAAGTGTTTGAGAGTGTGTTAAGTGTAGTTTCTACACTTATTTGAGACCCTAAATCGTAATATTT